GGTGTAGAAATGACGCAATTTACATCTTTTGAGTAAACATTTGAATAATTATTATAATATAGAAATAATAGTTCAACAAAGGTTGTAAAATAACAAGTATATTTCAAAATAATTTTGGTAGTAAACCATCAATATTGAAGACAAAAAAGTAAAAAAAAAATAGATGTTTATAATTTGTGTTACTCACTTAACATGCAACCCGTGCGAATTGACCCACGAAACCGGTCACTTCATTGGATAAAAAACGACAACTCTTACCCACTTTGAAATGGGATGCAATAGACCAAGCTAGCCTGGAGACTTTGACTCCTTTCCACAGCTCTATCCACAGTTGAGTGAATTTTCTTTTAAATCGTGATTGATGAATTCACATACAATTCATTTCACTTACAATTTTTATAAAAACTTTAAGTGCATATTTTGCCGTGCAGTGCACGGGTACACATACTAGTAAGTAATAATAGAAATTCACATAATGTTTGGAGAAAACCTTTATTCATTCATAGATTCCACATAAATTCAAATTAGGGACATCTAAATTCTGATAAAATTCTAAACTCCATTAAAATTCTCCAAAATAGGGTTCTAAATTAAGCATGTTGGGAACATATCTCAGAATGAGACGGATGGAGTAATAAATATATAGTGCTACTTGTACTCACTTCCTCATACCTCAGATGAGTGAGAATAAGGGGATTTTTCTAAATTAAGCATATTCATAACTAAGAATGTTTTGTGCATGTTTGTGCTCTGTTCATATTAAATACTCCGTAGAAGTTCACAGACGATCTTAATAATTCACAACTACTTGAACTAGCTCAATGTCATTAGTAACTCTCTCGCATTTCTACCGAGTGCCTGCCTGTCTGGTATAACATGTTTATAAATACTCTATTGTCCCTTATAACTTTGTTAACTTTTCTTTTTGGATGTCCCATTAAGAGTATCTTCAATGGCTAGTAATACATGGTGCAACTTTGCTTGCCACATTAGTCTTTTCTGGCTAATATATTTTCAAGCAACGTGATACTTCAATGGTTAGCTACAATGTTTCCCTCTTGGGTTGACCCCACAAATGACCAATCAATCAATTTTTAAAATACACATTTTGAACGAATTGATTTATTAATTCAATAAAAATAATACTTATTCTTAAATTTAAATACATATTCTTATTCTTATATATTTTCCCAATACTTATACTACTTATTCTTATTTATATACTTAAGAATAATACTTATTCTTAAATACTACTTATTCTTATTTAAATACTTATTCTTAAATACTACTCGTATCTTATTTTCCCTTTAATTAATTTAGTATTTCGATCCCTCTGTCTTATTCAAACGTTTTCACTTTCTTTTTTGGACGTTCAATATAAAGATTCTCATTTCTATTAAAAAAATAATTAAAACTCTCAAACGAAAATTTAATAATCAAATATTAAAAATAATACATTTTTTAACATCACAGTTATCATCAATGACCACATTATAATATTCGAGTATACTCGGATATTTTTATTGATAATTGTTTAAATAACTGAGTCATTTTATAATGAAAACCTTTAAGCGGGAGTGCGGGACAGAGGTAGTATATCAATTATCCAATAGATTAAATATATTTGGCAATTACCATTTTAGTTCAAACTTCTCTTCCTCTAGCAACTAGCTTGTATTGGCTAATTTGCTTGTCCAAGCTAAAAGGAAATATACACTCCAATGGTTACCACCCGAGCAAATGATGACTTAGTATGAAACTGTTGGAGATGCTCTAACTTGTAATTAATGTTCCTAAAAATCATTGTCTAAGTATCAAGGGACGGAGGGAGTATGTTTTAGAGTGTTAATTTTTTATATATACTCAATATTTGTGTCATATGAAAGATAATAAAAAGTTATGATTTTTGATACATTTTTTGTAAGAATTGGAGTACAGATAAAAAAGTTATACTCTCTCCATCCCGCTAAGATTGTCATATTTTTCGTTTTTCGGGAAATTTCGCTAAGATTGTCTCACATCAAATTTTGTAAATTTTGTGTTGTTCTAAAATTTTTTTACTTTATTCTTATTTATTAATTATACGACAACGATCAATTTATTTTTTATTAGATTTAGAAGATGACACACGACAAAAGTTTCCTCCATCCCAATGTTATTAGTGGGACGGAGGTAGTATCACATTAAAATAAATATGAGAATTATTTTTAAAGTGTTACGAATAAAAATGTTACAGCACTGAAAAAACAGATGTTTTAAAGTGTTATTTTTATATATATATACTCAATATTGGTGTCAATATATATATGAAAGATAATAAAAAGATATGAATTTTGATACTTTTTTTGTAACAATTGGGGTACTAATAAAAAGGTTATATACTTATATATACTCCCTCCATCCCGCTAAGATTGTCCTATTTTTCGTTTTTAGGGAAATTTCACTAAGATCATCTCACACCAAATTTGGTAAATTTTGTGTTGTTCTAATTTTTGTCAGCAACTCATTTTTGTTAATAATTGTGCCACTCCTCATGTCCCAATATTAGTGCGTGGAATGAAAGTAACATCACATTAAAATAAACATGGAAATTTATTTTGGTGGGGTCTTATGGATTCTAATTGAACACAACAAAGTTTCCATGATTTATATTTTTAAATTTTCGAAAGTACTATTTTGAGTAATTCTTTGTAATACACATAATGTGATATATAATGAGTAATAAAAAGCTACTACGTATTATAAATTAACTTTAGGTACATGTTTTTCAAATGTAAAACAAGTATAGCAATTTTTAAAATCTTATTTTTGAGTTTTTTCCAATAATTTTAAAAATACAATTAAGAGTTATGCAAATTTTGTCGTGTTCGATTAGAATTCAACAAAGTTCAATACACTATTTATGTAAAATTTTCTCAATATGCAAACGGGCTCATAGATTAGGGTTATGATTGACACTTCAAAATGTAGTTGGAGACTAATGTCTGAATTAAAAACTATTGTCTGAAAAAGACACTATGTATGGAGCTGAATTTTGAAATGTTGCATCTGAACTGTTAGTATGATGAGGTAAATCCGTTTGACAAAAAGAGCTAAAAAAATATCTTGGATAATATGAGTTGACCAAATCAGATCATACAGGTCGGACCTATATATTCGATCGGAACAGATAAATCAAACAAAAAATGGTCCAATTAAAAACGTTTTAGTGGAGTCCTTCCTAAAATTTAGAACTCCATATATATTATATTAATCTACTTAAAGTATTCACGAGCAAGAGTTGGAATTAATTAGCTTATTATGAGGTTAATCATTCATATTTTAAAAGTATGCATTAGTAAATTTTAAAAATTGAGATGATGACACGTGATTTGGTACTAAAATGCAAAATGTGATTTTAAAAATCATACAAGAAACCGCAAAAACTACTTTCTTGATAACGATCTCATTGAGAAAAACAAATCATGGACTCCACAATCATGAATAGGAATTTTATTCATGTACGAATTTATGAAATGATTTCATTTAACGTTATATAAGTCAATGTATAAAAACAAAGGTAAAATGTGTTTAGTAGCAAGACTACATGTGTTAAAATTTGTTAAATACAAATTTGTCTCAATGTTATCTCAAATTTATGCAATAGAAATATTTAAAACACAAACAAATTTGCCCCTAATTTTGAAAATGAAAAATCATCATAATGCTCATGATACATCGAAATAAAAATTAACTTTCACTTTCACGGGATGTAAATAAATCTAGGTAGAATAAAAACCAAACCACACAATGACACAGGTAAAATGTTCACCTTTCTAATTAAGGATATTTTCAATTGGAACCAATTTTTTTTATCTTAATTATGAAAGTTGAAGTTACTTTTACTGTAGCGTATATATTAATATAATCTTGGTATATTTTGCCCAAGAGCTTTAGCTCTCGGAAAGTTGTACTAATTACATACGTAGTATATAACAATCTTATCATGACAATAAAAGTGGTGTTTAAGAGCTTGATAAATAAACAGGACTTTTTATAAAAGGTACTTGGTAATTTTTTTATTCATGGATGTAACTTTAATATAATATTATCTGGTCATGAAAATTGAGATCATTTTTCGTTTCTGAATATGGGGTATTTGTCTTTTTATTTTTCATTGCATGTTTTGACACGTTTATGTTTCGATTATAGTTATCTCTTGATGTGATGATAATTTTTTTATAGATTTTATTCATCTGACATTCTAGGTAAAAATTGTTTATTAAAAGGTTGCAACCTTTCTTCGTTCAATAACACTTATTTTACTTAATAAGATCTTATATACCTTCAATAATCTCAATCAAATGAAAAATAAATAGATCGCTTTGAATTACAATATGCAGCCTATTGTCACCACCATCGCCTTCATTAAAATCAAAATGTCACAAAATTATATATTTTAAACTCTTTTCTTAAAGAAAGAGATCAAAAGACTAATTTGAAAATTTCTAAAACCTAGAAGGGCTGATATCCTAAAAAACGACAACACCCATTTTTAGATAAATAAATTACCAAATTGTGTAGTTAATTTTGAACAAAACAATAAGCCACACATGAAATTAAATGAATAAAAATAGGTATTGAGTATTTTCTTTTTGCTTAGGTAAAAATATATTAATTTCAATTCGATGCAACTTAGAGTTATAAAAAGTATAGAAAACATTCCACTAATATTACTCCTAGAAAAGTGGTGGAAAAAAGTGGGAGTTGGTAACTTTTAGTGACTATAATTGTGTTCAAAGTTACTATGTAGTGACTATGATATAAGTTGTGAACACAGTTATAGTCACTAAAAGTTATCAAGTAACATTTTTGTCCATGACTATTTTATTAGTAATATTTTAGGGAAAAACTTAAAAAATTAATATGTTTTTTTCATTGGAAAATATAGACTGAAAACATGTTTAGATAATTAGTTCAAAAATAAGGTATACTCTCGTCGGATATTTTGAAAGAAAAGTTATAATTCCGTTTCCTCTTCACACACTTTCAATCATGCCGTCAAACTTGTCAATCTCGTCGGATTTCTGGCATTTTAACCCAAAGGCATCGCGATGGAGAACGCGGGCGTGTTGATGATGTGTCCTATCTCGTCCTATCTCGAAGCGCAGATTGACGAGCGCTTGAAGCTCTTCAGACTGTGGGACGCTTCTCCTTCCATGTCCGATTTCCTGAAGCTCAATGCCCGTTCAATTCGAGCCGTCGTCGGAAGCGCATCGCACGGGGCTGATTCGGGGCTCATCGACTCGCTTCCCAACCTTGAAATCGTCTCCACCTGCAGTGTGGGTTACGATAAAATTGACCTGGCTAAGTGCAGAGAGAGGGGAATACGAGTCACCAACACTCCCGATGTGCTGACGGACGAGGTCGCCGATGCGGCGATAGCGCTGGTCTTGGCGACGTTGAGGAGAATCTGCGCTGCTGATGCTTTCGTCAGAAGTGGGCTGTGGAGGAGTTGCAATTTTGAGCTGGCCACCAAGGAAAGTTTCGGTTTTTATGCGTTGCTATAGTAGTCATTCCGCATCATATATGAATGTTGTCCAGGAAAGTTTCGGTTTTTATGCGTTGCTATAGTAGTGATGATGCTCGTAGATTTAAATGCCCAGTCTTAGGGATGAAATGGAAGCTGAATCTAAAAAATTTGCAACTCATTCTCGCTCATTACCTACTGTACGTTCATCGTACAAGTTAAGAGTAGTATATACTAACTAGAACAATGTACCAATACAGCAATACAGATAGGAAGCTATCAATAAAACTAATAATAAGAATTATTAACACTAATATTATAATGAGGATTTATGAGCTTGTTTGGTTCGTCGAACCCTCTAAAAAGCCTGTATCACATTGGCAGTCCATAACTCCATTAGGCCTTTTGCTTCTGCTGCATCCCCTCCTCAGTCCCCCAATTTTTTTATTGTTCCAGTTCAGTGGTAAATCAGTTGGGATAATAGGGTTAGGCAGAATTGGTTCAGCAATAGCAAAGAGAGCTGAAGCATTTGGCTGCAGAATCAGCTACACCTCTAGACTGAAGAAACCCCATATCAACTACACATTCCACTCGAGTGTCGTTGGTTTGGCTGCTGATTCTCAAATCCTAATTGTTGCTTGTTCGTTGACAGAAGAAACGCGACACATTGTAGATCGAAAGGTCATTGATGCTTTAGGTCCAAATGGCGTTCTAATCAACATAGGACGAGGTGCCCATGTGGATGAACCTGAACTTGTGTCTGCTTTGCTTGAAGGACGGTTAGGTGGGGCAGGGCTTGATGTTTACGAGAACGAGCCCGATGTGCCAGATGTGCTTTTTGGGCTGCGAAATGTTGTTCTTCTGCCTCATGTTGCAAGCGACACTGTTGAAACTTCCCGGTCCATGGCTGATCTTGTTGTTGCAAATTTGGAGGCTCATTTTCTTAACAAACCTTTACTATCTCCTGTGATTTGAATGGTCTTTGGAAAGTTTCTTGGGGTTTCAGCTGACCTCTCTCCCTGTTTCTCTAGGTGGTAGTCACCATTTTCCTTTCTTTGAGAAGTATCATTTTTTATACTCTTAAAATTGTAGAAGTAATGTTGGTATCATTTTGTCTTTTTTATTTTATCCGAAATATATGTATATGTACTCCTTCCTGACTTCTTGAGTTTTTAGGCAAAATTAGGGGGGCATAAAAACCGACCCGAACCGGTACAGATAGGCATGGCAATGGGTCGGGGGGGGTACTGCAAGACCCGGAGCCGCCCCGTGACTTGGCAGGGCGGGTCCGCCCCGCCACGTGACCTGCACGGGTCCAAACTTGTTGACCCATGACCCGCCCCGCCGCAACCTAATTAGCTAGTATGTATTTTTATTTGTGGGAAGTCATTACCAATTGAATCTACATAAAGTTTATCTTTAAATAATAATTAAAAATCAATATGTTAAATCAAATTCGTGATACGCTAAAAATTTCAAAAAATAAGGAAAAATTACTCAGACTTGAATAGTTAATCTAATTAGTTATATTAATAATTGAATATATTTATTAAAATTCTATATATAAAGAAGACATCGATAATCCATTGTTCATCTCATTCTAATATATATTCATATATTATAAGATCAAAGAATTTATGATTTATTGTATACACACATATGTATGTTGAAGTATATTTGTAGTATAATTTGAGAAAAAGTATGTATACTTATATATCGAGTGGGTCGGGGCGGGGCGGGGCGGGTCGGGGCGGCACGGGTCAATTCTAATACTCGGACCTGCCCCATTTTATAGGCGGGGCGGGGCGGACCCGCCCCATTTGCAAGACGGGGCGGGGCGGATCCGCACCAAATGTCTCGGGTCAGGGCGGGTCATTGCGGGTCGGTTTTTTTTTACATCCCTAGGTACAGAACCAGACCGTGATGGTACCGAACTGAATACCGGGTATTTAAACGGTTCCATAGAATATTATCCCGAAATAGCACCGTTTCAAACGGGTACGGGACCGGTCCCAGATTTTGTGAACATACAAATATTACATCGAACCATTTAAAAATAATGCATTTGAGATTTTTATGTTTTTTCCATACCAATGAATTTTTTTAGACCAAAATTTTTAGTCCAAGTATGTATTCATGCATCCCTAAAATAGCTAAATTTGTGTGTATATAAATATTGTTATTTTTTCCTCTTACATAATTTATGTTATATTTAGTACATGTTGAGAGAATGCTAAAGATTTAAAAATCCTTAATGACTTTTAAATTCTAGTAATTTAGTGTATATCACTTTTTATTGTTTCATATTTGTGTAACTTTACAACTTAATTAATATGATTTAAATTTTAGCTCTTACGATTCAACTATGAATTAAATTATAACTGATATTCATCCTAGAACAAAGAAGTTAAAATTTTCTATTATATTCAACTAGTCATCGATACGGTTCGGGCCGCCCGGCCCGGGACCGGCCCGGCCCGGCCCGCTACTGTGCAGGCCCGGAACCGGCCCGGTTCTTGGGTCCGGGCCGGGCCTAGGCCCGGTGGGGGGGTCCGGGCTCGGGCCTTGTATTTGGCGAACCGGCCTGGGTCCGGGCCTAATTGAATTTTTTTTTCACTTTTTGGGGTTCCACCCGGGTTGGGCTTGATGGTTAGGAGGGATTTGGGGGGTGGGGGTGGGGGTGGGGGGGGGGGGGGGTTAGGAAAGCAAAAAAAAAAAACGGAGGCCCGGCCCGGACCCGGTGGCTACCCGGGCCGGTCTCGGGCCTTCCTTCCCAAAAAAAAAGCCCGGCCGGGGCCGGCCCAGGTCCATGACTATATTCAACAATTAGATGATATTCTTTTTATATTTTCACATGAATATAATAAAGATGATACTCCGTATGTATTTGGTGTAGTCTTTTTGCTATACTTTTCTTTAATTGTGTTGCACTATTTGAGTATTTTTGAGTATAAATACAAAACTTTCAGCCTCTTGAGCCTTTTATAGTATTTAGTATGCATTTTTTTTATATTTTTATCAACATTTCATGTGTGATGATATCTACAAATTGCAAGATTTGTCCAAATGTTTTCGCATGTGTTTGGCATTATACCGAAGCATTTTGTATTGTTCTGAAATGACATGGTATCAAATGATTTCATTCCTATAAACAGAATGTACCAAACCGTTTAAAATCTCACGAGTACATTACGAGTTTTGCTAATTTACCGGACTATTCCGGACTGCGCCCACGCCTAGGCAAAATACTTTTTAAATTCACTTTTCCATACGTGCCCTTTTTAAAACAATAAAACATAAGATGGAGAAAATTAATAATTTAAGTTGTACAACTTCACAATTAATATCCAAATATTATTAAAAATAGAAACTTCAACAGAAAATTTAAGGAAAAAATGGCCTCAATATAACTAATGGGCTTTCCATTTAAAAATATATGACTTATTTTTCAAATCCCTAAAATATGACTTGACTCTTCCGTAACCCAGTCATTCCCATATCGCAGCCTTAATTTCATCACATCTTCCATCTTCGCGCCTGCGCAGCTTCCTCCATTGCAGCTCCCCATAATCTTGCATCGCTCCTCGACCGCAAGCAACATCGACCAGCAACTAAGATGGAGGCGTCATCCTCGATGTCCGCCGCCGCCGATTCAGACTTCCTTGATGGACGCCGCCGATTCAGACTTCCTTGATGGCCGCCACCCCTAGTTCAGTCCGCAATAGATCTACTCAATAGATCTACGGCGGTGGCTAGACTACCAAATGTGCAGTGATGGATGCTAAGTGAGACGAGAGGCGGCGACAGTAGCCTGGTCGTAACGGGCTCGCGGTTGTGTGGGAGGCTGGGAGCTGGTCGGGGTTAGGGGCTCTTGTGAGGTGGTGGGGGATGTTGATTGGGGGTTGGGTGAACGGGGGAGGGGCTGGGTGATGCAGGGGAGGGGCTGGGTGATGCAGGGGAGGAGCTGGGTGATGCAGGGGAGGGGTTGGGTTGGGGTTGGTGTTGGTGTTGGAGAGGGGCTGAGATTGACGGCCAATAGTGGTGGCAGGCGACGGTGGGAGGTGGTGGTTTCCGGCATGGACGACGGTGAAGGAGTTCGACAAGTAGTCATTGTGGCCGGCGGGCAAGCAGTCATTGTGGTAGGTGGGCGGCAGTCAATGAGATTAGTGTGTGGGAAGTCACTGCGGTCGGAGCCACTGTGACCGGTGGGACAGTCACTGGCCGGAATCGGGTGTCACTGTGGCCATAATCGGGTGTCACTTTGGCCGGAGTCACTGAGATAGTGACTGCCGGTGGCGGCGGCAGCAAAGGTGGTGCTGAGGTCGGCGGTCCGGAGGTGCTGGTGGCTACCAAAGATGGACTATTAATTTAATCAAATGTATAAAAGGAATATTAAAATAATAAATATATGATTAACAATAAGGTGTAAATGACTTTTAGTCACATTTTTGGAAAAAATTAAAACGGGACACTTTTTTATCATTTTCATTCATTTTAGTAATATTGGAATAAAAAGGCCAAATTTAAGTTGTCTTAATACTGCTCATATATTGTGAGATGTTAATTGCTGGCCGTGTGCGCCACATGCTACTCTGTATTATAGGAAATGTTAAAGATAATTAAATACTCTCTCCGTCCCATAAAATTTTGTCATCTTTCCTTTTTGGGATGTTCCAAAAAAATGTTGTCACTTTATCTTTTAATTAATTATTTTGTGGTTTCTATTATTTCTCTCTCCTCTGCACAAACCTCGACCACACAATTTTTACTTTATTATTCTCAGTGTCAGTCAACTTTGGTAAAGTTTTAAGGGTGAGGTAGTAAGAATTTATGCCTACGATTGTAGTATTGTACATTTGTACTGATTCAAAATTTTTAATATTTGAAATGTGTCATGTTGTTATGTCTTACGTTTTGAATTCAAATTTCAAATAGTAAAAATGTGGAACATTTGTTATTCCAATTCAATATAAACAACTCAAACAACCCTTGTTTTACCTTTTTACACTTTGAATAAACCATTTGGGGAATAAATAAAAGGGAATTTTTCGCAAACGGACTAAAAAGTGAAAAATATATCACTTTTATCACTTTCAACTTTTGTTTTCAAAAGTAGACTAGCCGAAATTTTCTTTTCAAACATAGCCCACGTCTTCCCTGGACAGCAGTCTATACGTATATCATACCTGATTATTCATTGATCATGTACGCCGTAGTTCCGCACTTCTTCATCTAAGCTAAAAAAATGTGCTGGAGTCACTCATGTTTCGTTTGTTTTTTAAGTCGAAGCTACACAACAAAAAAGTATTGATTTATTTATCATTAAGTCAAAATTATTAATATAATCACACAAAAATATTAAATTCTCAATAAATTTGAAATCTGAATTAATAATAGGAAAATATTAAAAAGGGAAAATATAAATAAATTGATCAAAATTAAGCATATGTGAATATAATTTAAAAATGAATTAGAAAAGCATAAAAACGTGTAGAAGAAATAGAAAAAATAAATAATAAAAAGTAAACAACTTTTTAAAAGTTAAAAACATATGGAATTATAAAACCATATTCCGTACAAAACATTTTATTTGTAATGAACTACTAGATAATACACATATGTAACAAAATACTCGGTACAAAATTGTCAAAGTAGAAAAAATAAAAACTAACTAAAGTAAAACGTATAAATATAAAAGTAAAAACATAGTAAAATATAAATATATAAATTTTTTAAGTCCAAAACTTTCAGAAACAGATATTAATAAAACCAAAATAGATAATAAAACTTTCCAAAGTCTTAAAAACACCAAGAAATTTAGTAATCAGAAGAAAGTGTAAGAAAAATAAAAAATAAGAATCGAAAAATGTGAAAAATAAAATTAATAAAACATAAATAGTTAAAAAATATGAAAAGGCTATTTTAACTCGAAAAATAGTTACATTATACTCTGTACAAACATAAATCTTATTTGATTTCTTAAATAGTTGAAAAATCTAATTATTTTGAAAAGGCTATTTTTTTTTTGTTGCACGTGGTTTCATTGTGTTTTATTTAGTTGATATATTGAAAATTTTGCTTCTTACTTTGATATGATTCATATTATTCAATCCCAAAATCTTTTGAGAATAAGATTGATGGTGTCGTTGTAATGCAAATTTTGTTTCTTATTATTTATTGACAATAGGTTAATATAATTTGACAAATTCAAATCTATCAATATATTATGTGTGAGAGTGCGTGCTGGCTGAATTGTTATTCCAAAAAACAAATTGAAATTTAAATAAAGAACGAAAATCAAAATCAACTATAAAATATCAAAATGTAGTACCTGATAAACAACAAAAAGCAACACAATACAACATGATGCAACACAATGCAACAAAAAGTAACATACAAAAGAAACAAATAGCAACAAAAAACATACGTAGTATAAAGTAATGCCATAAATTTACAATTCTATTTTTTTTTCAATTTCAAATAACTGCATCACACTAATAATACTTTTTTTGCAAAGTAGCGAAAGGTGGAAAATAACACACTTCTAGAAGTGTTCGAATGAATATTCTGGTCCGACAATATCCGAGTAGTACTTGTTGAACAATTGATACAAATCATACAATCCAAACTTGGAAGCACCCCGAGCTTTGCAGTTTGCACCTAAGAAGTACAAGAGGAGTGTTATTATAATCACCAGAGCATATTATTGTTAGTTGTTAGCATATTGTTTCATTATGTTTCTTTTTGTTGATAAATTTGAAAATTTTGGTTTTTATTATTTATTTATGTTTCTTGTGGATTTTCCTAAAATTTAACATTTCATTTTTTATTTCAAAGCAACAAAAATGAATAGAAGCCTACACAAACAAAATAATATAAAAAAGTCTACAATAAACAAATAAATAAACAATGGGAAACAAAAAAGAAGTACGGTAAAACAAAAGGCAACATGATGCAACAAAAAAGCTACACCATGCAACAACGAGCAACAAAAAAGCTACACCATGCAACAATGAGCAACAAAAACACATACTACGTATAAAAGTATGACAGTGAATCCATAATTTAATATGTATTTTCACATTTAAGATGATCCTTATAATACTATCGTATGAATAATCCTTTAAATAATATACAAATTTGAAGAGGTTTCATGCCTTAGTATCTGTCAAATAATGTCATATAATTTGTACCTGTCAATAACTCACATCAGCTACCAAATACTATCAACCTCTCTTCTAATTAACTCATATATCATCAAAATGGACTAGTCAATTAATGGAGGCAGCACCACATACAGCTCCCCCATTCATAAAATGACTAATCAAATGCCCAGGAGCAATTGATCATATATCATCTTAAAGCGACACATTTGTTGGGTAATAGCTAATTTACCTGCGAAAGATGCAAGATGCATAGCTAGAAGTTATCCACTTTTGACCTCGGCGCCTGAAAAATCTTGACATTACTTTAAACTAAAACTAATGAAATTGCTAATTGGAGTGCAATAGAATGATAGAAGAGATAAACCACACACTCACAAATGAACAATTAGTAATATGCTTTTGACCCTAAGTAAGAAAGCTACTACAATGGAAACAACTAACTACTACTACACTTGGATATATATAGATTCGAGTGCAAGCATATAGACATCATTGATAAAAAGCTAGCTATGTAACAATAGCATGTGGGTTAAAAGCTAGCTGTGTAACAATAGCAAGTGGGTTAAAACTAGCTGTGTAACAATAGCAGATGGGTTAAAAGCTAGCTGTGTAACAATAGCAAGTGCCAAGTGGGTTAAAACTAGCTATGTAACAATAGCAAGTGTGATAAAACACTAAGAATAGCAGGCCACTATGTAAAACTTCCATTACCTGGACTGATTGAACAATGGACAAAAGGCTATTCTATTGTTGATGATCCAAATGAAAACACATGTACAACACTGGACATACAACCGCAATAATATTTCTCATTGTGTAGAGATGTACCTAGCAAGAAATAGAATATTGGATGAGATAAATGGTAAACAATGGTGTTTAAACTTCTCTAGGCATCAACAACAATTACGTCAAAATTTTAATTTAATCAAAAACTTAAATGTCAACCTGACTGAGAATCGCACCGGCCAACGTACATTGGTTGCGATTGGAGTGAATTGCTCGATTCTATTGTCCACTATTGAAGGAGCAATTTCAGGCCTGAAAATCGTAGAAAATTCCAATAAGTGACCTAGGCAACCGTATCTGCCTTGCTTCAAATCGTACCTTGTGCGCGTGAATGAAAACTCTGCTCAACGCTCCAAAACTGTCACGCGACCACCCTGGACACTCTGTTTTGCAAAGGTAAAGCTCTATCCTAGACGACGATGGAAGATCCACGCACTCTCTTATCTGCATCGGAAATACATGGAGGCTTGCACTCTCTATTCCCATCCTGGCTGTCAGAGGACGCTGGAACGGGCAATTCGAACACAACGCAGTCGTCGATTATCAATCCTGGCCATAGATTTCACTTCCCAGAGAAGAGATCCGGGAATCGTCGTCTGTTCTCCAGACCTGCCAACAGCTCTCCTAATCGTTTCACCCATACGGTGATGGGAAACGGAAATCATCAGGAATATAATATGCCTTCCCTCTTTCTGGTGCTACTATTCTACGGTTCTACGAGAGGTAGGCAAAAGTCTAAAATTGAAATAAAAAAATATAATTGAAAACACAAAAGATTTAAATTGAAAAGAAAAAATAGTAGGGTCACGAATGATATGTGGTGCACAAAAAGAGACTATACGAGTAATTACCACTAAATAAAAAGGTGAGACTAGACCTGGAGCGGAACCTAAATATTCTAAACAGGTCCTAGGCCTCAATATTTTTTTCCCGTGTGCTCAAGAGTTCAAGACCGAACCAGCCCGGGTTAGGGGTGGACCAGTTCCGGTTCGGGCCCGGTTCGGGCCTGGGCCCGGCCGGGCCTCGGTTCAGAAAAAGGAGGCCCGAGCCCGAACCGGTGGTGGGCGGTTCCGGTTCCGGTTCCGGGCCAGAACCGGGCCGGGCCACCCGGAATGTTTTTTTTTTTTTTCTTCTTCTTCTCTTATTTAACCCCCTACCCCTCCCCCTCCACCCCAAACCACCCCAAACCACCTCAAATGGCCCAAAATACCTAATCCAACCCAAAACTTAAAAAAAATTCAAAAAAAAAAAAAATTAAATTCCGGCCCGAACCGGGCCCGGCCCGGCCGGGCCGGTTCACTAAACTGGAGGCCCGGGCCCGGACCGGTATACCACCGGGCCGGGAGGCCCGAACCGGAACCGAACCGGTTCACCGGGCCGGTCCGGGCCCGCACAGTAGCAGGCCGGTCCGGTTCCGGGCCGGTTGGCCCGGCCCGAGTCCATCATTGGCCCGGGTGCACCCTTAAGAGCAACTATCCACGTCGCCCCCATAGTAGATATGCCCCCAAGTCCAAGTGCAAGTATAGTATATTTAGATGCCATGAATTTAATACAAGCATGAGAGAATAAATTTTTTAATTTAATAGTGATGAAAATCAATTTTTATATGTAGGCTTTTATAATATAAAAAAAAATGGTCTAAAATACATTTGAAACCACAAGAAGTGAAAATTTGATGTGTTAATGAAACATTTAATAACTTCATAAATAATACTCGTAACAGTCAGTTAGTCACCATGTCCACCTAGAGTTTAATTTTGTTCACCTCCCCATTTGGAGGGTGAACATAACCCTCAAATATTATAATATTAAAGTATTTATTGAAGAGTCAATGGCCATCTTTTTTTGGGAGTATTTATTTAGATTAGACATGCTTGTGGGGCCTTTTGGTCTTATACGGAGTACTTTACAAAAGGCATGTGCAACGTATTTCTTTTAAATTTGGCAATATATAAATAAAAAATTATTATCTTCATTTTATCAAAATTAACAGAATAAAATATAATTTTAAATGTAATTTTTTTTCATTTCGTAATTTAGCATATTTAGATTATTGAACCGCTTGAAGCAAATTTTCATCAATTTTAACAGATTTAGCTAATTTCGACATTAAGAAAAGGTCCCGTAATATTATTGTTAGCTGAATTTCAATGAGAGAATTCCCTAAATATGAGTAAAAACGTTTTGAAATTCCAAAATAGGAGTATGATGTTTTTTATTCCCTAAATAAGAGTAAATTTCTGTCAAGTTTGGCATTACAAAGCTTTAAACTTGGCAATTTTTTCCAAACTTGGTAGTTTACTCTTATTCAGGGAATAAAAAACATGATACTCCTATTTTGGAATTTCAAAACGTTTTTACTCCCATTTAGCATGATTTGAATTGTTGTGAAAATGTTTTGTATCCGTTACAACTCAAATGTTTTGCCGCATTTTGACATAAATGCCACAAACACAACCCATGATGGGATTGAGGTAATAGCTCATCAACTACCGCAGATATAGCAGCGGACTGATCAGTGAATATGCTCTTTGGTTTCTTTCCTCCCATTGCCTCGAAAAAGGCAGTGAACAACCAAGTAATTGCATCATATGTTTGACCATCTAGTAGGCCACAACCAAACAATGATGTTTGTCCATGATGGTTTATGCCTACAATTGGTGCGCACAACATGTCATACTTATTTGTCCGAAAAGTCGTATCAAAACATATAACATCACCGAACAACCCATAATCCCGTCTAGATTTTGCATCACAAAAATATACTCCACATATTTCACCATCTTCATGTGACCTAAATGAATAGAAGAAATGCTTGTTCTCATTTTTCTTCTGCTTGAAGTATTCTAGAAGACATTCTGCATCACCTTTCTTGAAAAACTCAGATCGCTTTCTTTGAAGGAAGTTATTGCAATATGATCTTGTAAAATTAAGGTTATGAGTTCCACCGGCTTCTTCACACATATGAGAAAATCTGTCCTTGCTTCAAGCCGGATGCATGCATTGTGGTCATCATTTCAGCTTGCGTAAATTCAATTTTCCGTTGAGACCTCAAGTAACCAGAATGTTCAAATGGGGCAAGGTCGTGAGAATGTACTGATTCAAAACCAATCACTTGATACTTCTCATTTGGAAGACGTTTAAATGTAAAGGATGCTTTGCAATCACAACGTGTCTCGTCTCGTTTCTTCTGAGGTGTCTTGATTTTCTTGTAAAATCCCTCACATGAGCACACTAAAACTTGACGTTGAATTAGTGTACTATCAACTCTGTTTTTGTTAGTTCGGAAAATACGCACACTAAAACCAATCTTCCTTGCATATGAGTTGTAAAAGCGTTTTCTGCACTCTCAAACTCCATCCCAATTTCAGGTTCTATTTCAATATTTCCTTCTTCCAGAAGCTGATTATTTGAACCCCTGTACTCTTCATTAACAATAGGAGTCTCTTCACCCACACAAAAATTCAAGTCTGGGACACTCATGACAACTGATCAAGACTACAAATCTAAAAATAATTAGTAAAAATTAAACACTCAAAATCTACTGAATAGAAAAAGTCGAATGACAGGAAATTAAAAATCTGATAAAAATTAAACACTCAAAATCTACTGAATAGAAAAAGCCGTATGATAGAAAATTAAAAATCTGTATAATATGAATAAAGTTCAATTTTTGATATCTCTAGTATGGAGTATGTAATATTTCAAGAACAAAAATAAACGTAATCAAATCACCAACTTGGATAGATAAATGGTTAAAAGATATTTAATTTTTAAGAATAGAAATCGGTGGTACCATACTATCGTATGAGTTTAAAAAAAATGCAAGTGCAAAATCAAATACGGAGTATTGAAATACTAAAGGGGCTAAAAGCATCTTTAACTACGGAGTATAATAGAAGTAATGAAAAATACCTTATATACGTCTGCAGGTGTCTGCAATCTTCTCTACCAACGGTTTAGGAAATAACGATCGTAGCACACCCAATATGGAGGTCTGAAACTGAAGCGGAGATGGGGCAGTGGAGAAATAGTAATGCGTATGATTTAACAAATACAGATAAGCAAATTAAAAGGTATGTCTACAAATTAAAGTGACCCCACATCCTAAATATCATTTCTAAAAGAAAACTACATACTCCGTATATATATGGAAGAATATGGGCATAGTGGGAGAAGAGTACAATGTGATGTACTTTTAATATTATAATATTTGAGGGTTATGTTCACCCTCCAAATGGGGAGGTGAACAAAATTGCTCTCGTCCACCTACCATGTAGTTTCCCCTTCCCTTAATAAATTGGTAAAGTGTTCCCGAAGAAAACTAAAAAAAGCCACCATCTTAATTCAACAGTGCTTAGAAACAAAAAAAAACGTCACCATCATAATCACAAGAATGATAAATCACCTCAATTACACTTGGAGATGAACAATAACTCTTAAAACTGCACACACCGTACACGCTCTAAATAGAGGTTGCATCCATTAATTAGCATCATGAAATCAAATTAAATTAACTACATTCAGATGAGTGTAAACAGACAGTAAATTAAGAGAACTTTAGCACTCGCATCCTGTTGATCTTTGTTGATGCCCACCCGCAACATCAATGGTATCGGGGAGATATCTATAAGCCAAGAGGGCATTGGAAAAACACTCAATATTAGCAACCTGAGAAAGTCCCATGTATTGATAAACTTTTTTATGTTGAGAACTTACATTTCTTCTTCAGGTTCATTCTTTAGAGCGTTTTTTGCTATACATTGGAAAGCCGCGTCCACATTGAATCCATCCTTGGCAGAGGTTTCAAAGTAAGGAATGTTTCCCTTAGAGGCACACCAAGCCTTGGCTTTCTTCTCAGAAACCTGAAATACCAAAGACCAATGGGGCATATTAGTAAAAGAAATAGAGCACAATCAATTTAGAAGGGAAAGGAACGTACCACCCGACTATTGCCACCATCAACATCTACCTTATTCCCCAAAACAACAAATGGGAAGTTATCAGGGTCAGAAGGACTAGCCTGCAAATTAATCGAAAAATAAACTTTTTAATCTATAACAGAAAATGAATGAAACTTCTGTAATTAGCACTGGGATGCATCAAAAGCTAACCTGAATGAGAAATTCTTCCCTCCAGTTGTTAAGATTCTCAAAAGATTTCATGACATTTACATCATAAACTAGAACACAACAATCTGCTCCTCGATAGAATGCAACACCTAGGCTTTGAAACCTTTCCTGTCCCGCTGTATCCCATATCTAATGAAAACAAAGAAACTCAAAATGAAAAACCATTAACATTATTTCCAATTCTCAGGCACTTGTTGTGGTATGGTGCATTCCACAAGAGTCATTGTTTTGATTGTTTTTTTGTTTCATCGCGTTAAATCAATCATGAGAATTTTTTTATCAATTTCCCCTGTTTCCCTTCTTTCCGATCTTAATTACGTAGTACTCCCTCCGTCCCATTTTACCTGTCCTACTTTCCTTTTTGGGCTGTCCCAAAATAAGTGTCTACTTTCCTCTTTTGGAAAGAAATATGTGGTCTACACCATTTCACTTTATTATACTCAAACTTCAATCACAACTTTTACTTTTTCAACCACTTCATTAATTACCGTGTCAAGTCAAACTAAGACACATAAAATGGAACGGAGGTAGTATTAATTAAGGAAAAGTACCAAATAGGCCCTCGAACTTACATAAAAAGTGCAAATCACCCCTTTTATTAGATGCTCTGTCCAGCCGTCGCCATTTGGGGCGGTTCCCGGTGGAATTTTTTGATGAAATTTCTTGAGCAACTTATTCATTAAGTTTAGTTTAAGCATACCAAAGTTCAGCTAAAAATGCAACGGAGAAGGCAGTTAAATGATTTTATGAAATATACCGCGCGGTTTAACTGTGCAGTTATCTTCAAAAATTCATTTGACTGCCTTCCCGAGTGAATTTTTAGCTGAAATTTGGTATGAATAAACTAGACTTAATGAATAAAATGCTCAAAAAATGTCATAAAAAAATCCATAGGGAACCACCCCAAATGGCGACGGCCGGACAGAGAGCCTCCTATATAAGGGGTGATTTGCACTTTTTATGTAAGTTTGAGGGCTTATTTGGTAGTTCTCCCATTAATTAAAATAAGCTCCAACAGTCCCAATAAATATTACTAGTACGATGTATCAATAATGGGTAGTTTTGCCAATGAGCACCAGACGGTCACTTTGCGGCCTCTTGTCAAAAGTAGACAAGGAAAGCTTGCCCCCTATACACCCTTGTGGTGGGACCCTTCCCCGGACCCTGATCTTGCAAAAACGTCAATGTGCATCACGTGCCCCTTATGAGTAGTTTTGGTGTAGTAATACTTTTTGTAAGCTTATAGAATTTCTAATCAATCTAACTATAAACTATTTGAAAAGGGCAAATGTCCTAGTCGGGGCTAATATAGAATGCAGAACATGAAATTTGCAGCAAGTTGCACTTCGAATATAAACTTCACATATTTAAGCATAAACTCAGACAGTGATACACAATCATTTGAACCATTAATCAATCATGTTTTCTCAACAGCCAAGTCTGATCAGATTAACTGCTGTTTAACTGTTGGGGACAAAACAGCAGTTAATTGGACAAATCACATGAATTTCACAATCGATGCAGTAAAACTCATTCCACCGTTATGCTTGAAATTAACTGATCATTTTAAGAAGCACCACTGACCACTGGGATTGATTCTGTTCCACAACAATACTCATACTAAGATCAATCAAGTTATAAAGACATCGTATAAGACAGAATATTTGAATTGTCGCCTCTAGTAACACGCTGAAGTTTAAGAACAATCCAGAGACACCAACTTCACTCCGTTCTTTAATCCAAAATGATACAAGAAAAGAAACTCAAGAGTTGATAGAATGCTATTATGATCAGTGTTGTGAATAGCGGCGCAATAGCACGCAATAGCGGAAAAGCGGAGCGGCAGACCTGTTAGGCGCTACAAGGAGGGGTCTCGTGTAGCATTTGGGAGTTGCGGTCATAGCGCCCGCTATCGCAGCGGTGCACAGAAGAGAATAGCAGCTGCTAACGCGGCGCTTTTTATGGTGAAGAGTACTGCGCTAAATTTTAGCGTTAAAAATTTTAAGCGCAGACATAAGGGGGTAAATTAGACTTTTAAAACAAAATATTAACCTAGTTAAAACCCTCAGACGTAAGTTAAAGGCTACCAAAAGCTCAAACCGAAGCCAGCTTTTGAAAATAGTCCGCCGCACCACTGCGATGGCTCTAACGACCATCATCTATTTCTTCTGCTCTAAATTTTTTGGCTGTTAATTTATCAAGGCTTAAACTCTTACACTAGAACCTTAATTTTGACTCAATGTTTTGATTTAAGATGTTTTAATTAGTAATAGCAACTTATGTTTTGCTCATGAAAGTATGAAACTAAAGAGTATTTCTAAGTAATTTAGGTGGGTGAACCATCTAGTTTCAATAGTCTCTTTGCAGACCTTAGATGTACCTTAGTCCTTGGCATAGTTAAAGCATATGCTTCCAGTAAGGCAAAGAGTATTTTTTTATATGTATTTATTACATGTGCTTCTAGAAGTTACTTATCTATTAAATTTGAAAGTAGTCTAAATAGCGGTTATCCCGCTATCCGCTATACCGCTATAGCGTTTTTGGGGCTCGCCGCTACGCTCCGCTATCCGGGATTGACAACACTGATTATGATCACATGTTAAAGAGAGGTCTGATAAGAGTCATAAGACCAAGGCTACATAAACATCCACTCACATGAAGGGGGAAAATAGATTCAGTATATAATTTGTATACTCTTAATCTAACCTGCAGAGTGTACAGCCTGTCTTCAAACTGAACCTCTTTTGTCAAGAAATCAGCTCCAATGGTGGCCTTGTATTGATTGCTAAACTTGCGATTTACATACCTAGAATTAAACACACAGAGCACACATTAAAAGGACTACAAATGGATTTTTGAACATCATAACCAGAGTTGGATTAAGCATACTGGTTCATCAATGACGTCTTCCCAACCCTGAAAAACATTCAAATTACACCAATTCCAAGTCAGTTGTAAGCCGAGGGTATAAATGCAGTTATTTTGTAAATATCATTACTTAGGGCCCCTTTATTACAGTTGTGAGTTTTGAGGTAAACCGGTGTTGTGAAAAGCTAGTTATGGCAACCAATTTAGTAATGGCACAACAGGAACTGAGAAATTAAATTAATTGTTTTAAAAAATAAATAAATGATTCTTGAGAAGATATTTGTTTTAAAAAATAAATAAACAAAAGAATGTTGAGGTTGAACCTAAAAAATCATATAAAGAATAAAATACTAGAAATGAAACAAACAAAACTCAACTAACTGGATGTATGGAGTTATGTGGAAATGTGATGTAAATGCATCCACTTTGGTAATCCAACCAAACAGCAGCAATGCAATTAGTACACCAAGATGCGGTGTAATAAGAATTCGAAGTAAAAAGTACCAAAGCACCACAATGAAAGCTAAAACATAGATGCTCTTAGTTTAGTGAGATTAAGAGGTTGGCCTAGGCGAGGCCAGGTCTTCCCACCCCTGACTTACTGTTTTTTTTATTTACATCGACATGAGTGGAATTTATGTACATTTCGAGTAAAATTAAGATAGGACTCCTAAGTTTTACTGTTTTAGTATGAACAAATACTTCCCTTGTCCCAAATTAAATGTCTCACTTTTCTTTCTGAACTTTCTCAAAATACACTTCTTATTTCTATTAAAGGGAAAAGTTGTGTGGTTGATATTACTTTTGTCTTTTTAAAATAAATTTCATTTACACAATTTACGTTCTTCACTTCCGTACCCGTACGAAAAGCAAGTGAGAAGCTAATTATGGGACAGAAGGAGTAAATACTACATTCGTCTCAAGAAGTCATGTTTGACCAAGATACAACTTTTATGTTTTTGATAGGCACAAATGCTATAAATCATTAATCAGGCTTATATTTTTGAAATTTATTTGTTGATTTAACTAAACTTATCATGTGTATTTTGGTTGTGAATCTTTTTGGCAAATTAAAAAAGAAAAAAATAGCTTCATTTGATCAAGCTCTGGTACATTTTTAGGACAAAAAAGGTTTGAAACTGGACTCTTTTGTGATGGAGGGAGTATGTAATTAGTTCAGAAACACTGAAAGTTAAGGGCAGAAAACCAAATGGCTACAAGCTCATATTAGGCATACTAGCAGTTCATATCACATAGCTTTGATCAAATACTCATAATTCCATTAATTAAAAAATTTCAAGAAATCTAAAAAGCCTCAAAAATTAATTAAACAGTGAAACGCTGCTTAAGTTATGCACAGTATATAATTCTCCTTAGCAAAATGTTATAGGTTCTGTTCAATTTGTTGTTAACAAGCCTTACTAAATGAAAAATGTTGTATAATGAAATAACCTGTAGTAAAAGAAAAATATGGTAGACTGAAATATTTAAAAATGATTCTTCATACATAACAAATAATTAAACAGTGAAACGCTGCTTAAATTATGCACAGTATGTAATTTGTTTTAAGTTGACCCCCGCTTCATATTAATTTGTTGTTTTGGTTATATATAAAAGTTGTTTCACAATATCTGTCGTTTTATTAATAAGTAAAGGGTATTTGATGTCAAAATTCCATTTTTGTCTTTCTTCTCCATCTAAATTCTGGCTAAAATTAACTTATAAATTCCAAGAGTGTGTATTAAATAATGATGGTTTAGGTTTAATACTATTCTTTTTGCAAGATTTTAAAATATTTAATTAATGAACTATCTTTATGTGTCTGGATAATTCTTAGTTGACACTTATATAACGGATGGAGTAACTCTTTTGTTTGACTTGCAATGAGCAGCTATGGTATATACAACAACAAAGCCCTAACATTATTCCTCTTTTGCATATGCGTAGTACTAGTAGTAGTAAAAGTTTCAAGCTGATGATTCCTTTTGATATACTCACAGGCTACTAAAATGCTCCCCTATTCTCAGATAAGTTCTCACTTTGACTTTACGAATATTAAGAATGTTAAATTTTTGTTTTTGACTTCACATTATATCCTTATAAAAATAGTTAGGTATAGAGCTTGTTTGGTGACCCTGCTTTTTGGCTTATCAGCCTTATCACCAAACACACCATTATTTATTTCGCGAGCTGAATGGCTTAATAACCAAAATAAGTAAGGTTGGAGTTACTCTTCTGGCCAAAGTTACTGTACTGGAACACTTTAGCTATTTTTTTCATACGTATAATTTTTACCTTATTTTATTAATAAAATATATTCTAAATACTTTTTTTCATGATTAGCAAGAATTAGTCAAACTAACCGATTCATGCCAAATTTCATAAATTTCAGCGGATTCAACCAATTTCAATGTTACCAAACAGGCTCATAGTAGGGATAAAATGGGAGTGTAAGGTAGGTAAATAAAATAAGAGTAACTTTATGATAAAAACTTTCCAAACATGGGAACTTTAATTTGGCCCTTCCAGCGAAGGAGAATGAGAACTTGTTTGAGAATGCTAATGCTAATAGCGCCTACTACAATGCTAATAGAGAAAAACGGATGGACTTGATTTATTGCAAATTGCAGCAATTTTCTAAATTCGTCCATTAATCCATTATTATGATGCATGCATATATTCCCTATAATGTAACATTACTCATCAATCCAGAGTGGTTTGGAAAATAAATATAAAAAACATGTGAGACCTGAGGCGACAATCACGATTCACGAATAAAATGAAAAACATCAAGTTAAATTCTCACCCGCTATCACCGAGTATTATGACCTTGAGAAGCATACGCCGGCGAGAAGCCATTTTTTCAGAAAAGAAATTAAAAGCAGCTAATACCGCCAATCGATTGGTACGGGGTGATTGGGTAAACGCGGGCGAGGGGAAAGCCAGCTATTGAAGGAAATTTCATTCATAAAGATACCGATGATTGGCAAAGTGCATAGAGTTTTTTTAATATGCCAGCTAATATGCAGGCCGCATTTTGCAGAAATAAAACTATGTTATTTATTTTCTTAAAATGGGATTAAAAGCCTAAAATATATTATTTCACTCAAGTTGATCGGGAAGTAGTTTGGACTTAACAAGTTCAATGGAGTCATAAACCCTAGAGAAGGTGTTCACTCTCCTGCGAGATATTTCCTTATAAACCAGTGACTTTTTTACAAATCGCATATGCTTCTGAAAAAACAAATATACACCAAACATGTGAGTACATAATGAAACAAAAGTATTGGGCAATACACTTATGATCTCAAACCAAGATTCAGGGTAGGTAAAAGATAGAATAAACTCACAACATCAGGCTTATATGTCAATGACAAGCGAGTCGATGAGCGTCGTGACATTTTATTGGAAGGGTCAGAAGTGAAATCGCTGTCAGACATTTCTAGAATACAAAGAAACTTTAATTAATAGTAATAGCAGAGACATATTTACATGTTTGATATGTAGTACAAATATATGATCATACATAACAACATGTCAAATATATGATAATTTATAACAACAGCATGGTAATATAAATATATAAATACAACACAACAGTGATCAATTCACTTACTAATTGGCAACTACATCTTTCTAATATAACTGCAAGGCAGTAAAGTAAGGAAGTAAAATAACAGGAAAATAGATGCACTGGTAAACATTAATGGAATACCGTTTGAAATGATCGCATTCACAATAAAAAATTTCATAACAACGGTAAACATAACACAAATATTCCAAAACATATACATACGCTAACTGCAATACATTCAATTCCGTGAGTGAAACCCTAGATATACAACAGTTACATGCATTGCAATCCATTCGGCGCACAAAACGAGAATAAAAAATGAAATTGATCACTCTTTCAGATCAGAGTTATGGTGAAGGAAGAGGGTAAACTAACCAGCAAAACAAAGGTATAGTAGAGCTTAACAACGGAACAAGGTGCAACCGATCACCGATGTAAGAGAAGTAACGAAAGACGAAATGCTGAGAAGAGGAATCGTATCATGGATTTGATGAAGGTGATGACGGTGAACGAAAATTGAAAATAAAGAGGGAAGGAGAAACAGACGCTGAAGGACGATAGAAACACAACGATAAAGGAGGTCAATTTTGTAAAATTACTTCCCATCCGTCTCATTTACGGATAAGTAAGAAGGAGGTCCCTTTTTTGTCCAGGCTTATGTTGGAGGTATTTTTGGCGTCATTATTTCTTATTTCTTCCGTATTTTTACTATTTTAATGGTTCATACACTTTGCATTTTGGGATGTATTTAAAAGTTTCATACATTTTCCCTTTTTGATAAATTTTTCCCTTAAAAATACTCAATTATCCTTACTTTTTCTACATTTTATCCTTTATTTCCTACTTTTTCACTTTCTCTCCTACTTTTTCTATACTATTCATTACCCCTATCATTTTCCCTTAAATTTTATGTCATAACCTAATGTATGGCTCTTTTAAAGGGAAAACTATGAAATAGGTCCTCGTACTATATCAAAAAAGTCAATTAAGTCCTCGTATTATAAAATAACTCAATCAAATCCTCTAACTTTTAAAAAACACTCAATTAGGTATTTTAACTTGTAAGCAACTGGTTTACAAGTTAACTTACACACATGTCAATCCACGTGGCAAATTTTACTCTTTTTCCCATCTTTTTTTGTTTTTCTTTTTTCCCATTCTCTTTCCTGGACCGTCTTCTTCCGCCCAAGCCCCTGCAGGCTACAACTTGCCAACTTCCGTTTGGTTTTCTTTATTCCCCTTCCTTCCTTCTTTCTTCCACCCCACCCAATCAAATTAAAACAAACTTGCCATTCTTCATCTTCGGACCTTCAATGAGTACAAAGGAGCAGTGCCGCAAGAGACGACATGGGCCATGGGTGTTGCACTGCTGCCGCGGATCACCTTCTCTGATGCGTGGTGTGCCGACGACGTTAAGCATGGATTCACTGCTCTTCGGCCCTCTTCTTCTCCATCCAGCCGATTCTCTTTGCTGCTGCAAAAACTTGTTGATGATGATGGTGTGGTGGCTGCTGCAATGTCACCGGAAAATGGATGTGTGGCTGTTGCAATGTCGCCGGAAAATGGAGGTGTGGTTGCTGCGAGGTCACTGGAGGTCTTGGAACCAATCTTCCGTCGAAGGTTGTTGAAGTTCTTTGTTGAATCCCCAAGTTTACCGGCGATCTTATCTTCGTGTTCATCCACCACCGCAGCAGTCAAGATGTTGTGAGTTGGGTGCCTTTGCAGAAGAAAGGAGGGAAATGACCAATGGGGCTTGGATCTGTTTGTTGGTTGCTCTGGTGAAGAAGAAAATCATGGAGTGAAAGAAGAAAGAAATAGAAACAAGGAAGAGTTCCAGGCGTATGGGTCGAGGCGTGGAGAGGGAGAAGAAAGAAAGAATGGAAGAAAAGGAAAAAAATAATGACACATCACTGTCCAAGTAAGCTAATACCGGTGATTGGCGGTGATATTTTTGACCAACCGGCTAAGAATGACAATTGGGTGTATTTTTATAGTTGAAGACTTGAAGGACTCAATTGGGTGTTTTAATAGTAGAAGGACTCAATTGACTTTTCCGGTATAATACGGGGACCTATTTGATAGTTTTTGCCTCTTTTAAATACGAAGAGAGTATTTTTTATGTACTGTTATCATAACTTAATACTCCTTCCGTCCCAATTTGTTTTGCAAAGTCAACATTTTTTTGTCAACCAATAATAAAAGTCAACCCTCCCTATGAATAATTAATTCAATTTTTAATAATTAAAATTTACATATTCAAAAACTACATTAAAATCTCCTCAAAGTTGTAAACTCCAAATTAGAAAATAATTAAAAATTGACATCCTAATTAAGTGAACAAAACGAGACTGTTTGACTAAGAAAAGTCAAATTTGCAACTCTTTTTGGGACGGAGGTAGTATGACAATCATATTCTTACATTACTATTTCTTTACTTATATTTTGGATATATTCTTAAATCTAAAATATTGTGAAAGAGAAAATTTTCTCGTTCTTATCTTATCTTATTCTTAAAAGCACTACATATGAGAGAGGAAATTGTCTCACTCAGTTCTTAGCAGACTTATCTTATATCTTAAACCACTACGTATGAGAGAGAAAATTTTACCGCTCAATTGTTAGCTGGCTTATCTTATACCTTAAGGCTCTGTTTGCAATCACTTAAAATAAGTGATTGTGGCTTTTTTTAAGAAAAAAATACTTATTTTACCAAACACTACCAATTTTTACTTTCTCGGTTTTCATATAGAATGTGCTTTTTACTTTTTCTATTACACAAAAAGCACTTATTTCACCAAACACTCCAACTTTTACTACTAATCACTTTTTCCCAAAAAGTGCTTTTATTTAAACACAAGTGATTGCAAACAGAGCCTAAAACACTACGTATGAGAGAGAAAATAATTTCGTATTTTCGCTCAAGTTATAGCCGACTTATCTTCTTATACCTAAAAGCACTACGTATGAAATATAAAATTCTCCAACTCAAGTTTTAGCCGGCGCATCTTATACATTTATTTATTTATACCAAAAAGGATATGTATGAGAGAGAAAATTCTCTCATTTTATTGTTTTGGTCAGTTTATCTTATCTTATAGCTAAAAGCTCTACGTATGAGAGAGAAAATCTTCTGGCCAATTATTAGTCGGCTTATCTTCTTATACCTTAAATCAATATAAATGAGAAAGAAAATTGTCCCGCTTAATTGTTAGTCGGCTTATCTTATACCAAAAAGCACAACATATGAGAGCGAAAATTCTACCGCTCAATTGATATACGGCTTATGTGATCTAATCTTATACCTAAAAGCACCTACATATGAATGAGGGAGAAAATTATCTCGTTTGATTGTTAGTCGGCTTATCTTAAAAGCACTACATATGAGAAATAAAATTCTCTCAGTCAATTGTAGGATGTTTATCTTATACATATGAGAGAAGAATTTTTGCCGCTCTATTGATAGCCGCCTTATGGCATAACCTTCTTGTGCCTAATCTTATGCCTAAATGCACAACATATGAGAGAGAAAACTCTCTCATTCATATGCTGAAAGTTGGGGTGCATGTGATGCTTATAAGGAATATAGAGCATTCATATGTAATCTCGATTGTTGGATGACACACGACTTCTGTTGATTGAACTTGGAACTAATATTATCTAGACTTAGATGATGCACAGAAAACAAATACTAGTGAAAAGTTTTTTACTCCAATACTTACTTTAACACAGTCAGACGGTATACTCTTGTTCATATTCCAGCGTTGACAACTTACATTAAATGAATGAACGTTACCTATTATGGTCAATAATATGTCTCGCCCCATATCATGAGAATCTCTTATCCAAGTTGGTTGGTTGAGGCGTCATTGAAAATATCTTGAAGAGAACTTTCATACGAGCTGCATTTTTGGTGAAGAAGATGTCACAGTCTAAATCGAATGGATGAACACTCGAGGTAAGAATATGGGTCCCAAAACATTGTGTGTTTGATTTCTAGGTTTGCCCTTGATTGTTTATAAAGCCCATGGCCGATTAAGAAGGATGTTCTACACATTTAAATGTGTAGGATAGGATCTTAACACGATAAGTTATTTAATCGTTCAAAAGGTTGGATACTAACCTAGGGTGAATTTTGGAAGGCTAAGAGGTGAACTCGTCGGGATACACCCCTTTTAGGAGACTGTTTTCATATCTTTTGCTAGGGGACGAACCATCACATGGAGAAGGTCACCTAGCTACTATTTCTGAGAAACGAATCCATAATCAATCGTCCTTGGCGTCCTTGGCGTCCTTGGCGTCCTTGGCTGGGGTTTTGACCACTGGACTAAGAGAGGACATATGTAGGAGCTATTGAGGTGGGGATAAACATCTAATTGCTTATAACTTGTAGGTTAAACATGAGATTACCTAAATGCCTAAATTGTGATTTTCTTGGATTGTGATGCCTAAAGTATGGTTATATTTATCTATGAACGAATTTATTTATGATATGGAATTATATAAATGATATAGTGTTAATTGAGCTATTAATAAACTCTTATGTTGAAATAAGCATTTCTAGCTCATGAATGGATTATGTGATATATAAATGAGTATTTATATATTGCAAACGACCAAGAGTGTAGTTGTCACGTATCTCTAGGTATGTTGAAATAATACATGATACTTGATTTGACAAAATCAATCCTAATAGTATTAAGGTACTAGCTTAAGATTGTTTATAATTGTTTATAGAATTGATCCTAATGGCTGAGTTGTGTGATTTGTACTTGAATATATTTCAAGTGAATAAATTAAAAGGTTTGAAGGCCCGGCCCGGCCCGGAACCGGGACCGGTGAACTGGTTCGGGCTTTGACCCGGCCCGGGGGGGTAGGGCGGTTCGGGCACGGTTCATTAGTTTGGAGGCCCGGCCCGGCCGGTTCGGGCCCGGTCCGGGCCCAACGGATATATTTTAAAAAAAAAAAAAAATTGTTTCTCAGCCAAACAGGCCTTATGGCCGTTGGCTTTCAACCCAAACGGCTCTATAGCCGTTGGGAGCCTTCCAGGGGGTCCCGGGTTGGGGGGGGGTGGGGGGGGGGGGTGGGGGTACTAAATATCTATAAATACTCCATTTTTTCTATACACTTTACTACACATCTTCTCCAAATATCTCTACTCTCTAAATCTCTAATCTCTATTCTCTACTAATCTTCCCCATCTTCATCTTCTCAATTTCTCAAATTTATTACTACATATATTATATTTATATAATTTATTATCTACTTATATTAATATCTAATTATTATATTATTGTTACTTATATAAGTATATTTATTTACTTATATTTACATATTACATATAGAATTATCTCTAATTTATTTACTTATATTCACATATTACATATACTTAATATATACTTATATTAGTTATACACATATTAAAGTATAATATATAAGTGTATTACTCATCTTATAGTAATATACTTATATATTAAAGTATAATATATAAGTGTGTTAGTCATCTTGTAGTAATATACTTATATTATATATACTATCAACATAATATTATCTACTTATTATCTACTTATAAATATATATTTACTACATCTACTTATACACTTATTTATACACTCTTACACTCCCATTAATTTTGTTTACACACTAATACATTCTTCATTAATATAAAAGTAGTTAATTGTTTCACTTATCATTTTAGACTTTTAGTATTAGTTCATTGCTATAAAAGTAGTTAATTGGTAGTTGTTAGTTTATTGGAAATAGTTACATTAAAAATTGTTAGACAAGAATTCGAAATTAATTGTTTACTTGTTAAACTGGTTAATTGTTACATTTCTTCTCCTATAATACTAGTTAATTGTTACATTTATTATTCTCCTATCAAACTAGTTAATTGTTAATTATATTATAGTTGTTCGAAAATTTATCTACATATATATTTTTTTATAAAATTTATTATCTACTTAATATATTAAGTGTATTCCTCATCTTATAGTCATATATTTATATTATATATACTATAAACATAATATTATATATTACTAGTTAATCTACTTATTATCTACTTTTAAATATATATATATTTACTATATCTACTTATACACTTAATATAAAAGTAGTTAACTTTCTCCTATCAAAATAGTTAATTCATTGTTACATTTATTATTCTCCTCTAAATTTCATTGCATTGTTACATTTAATGTGTAGTTAAAATTTCTCCTATTAAACTAGTTAATTGTTAATTACATTGAAGTTGTTCAAATTTTATAGTAAAAGTTAATTTAATTGGTACATTTTAATTGTTACATTCTAGTCAATTTAATTGTTCGAATTTAATTGTTACATTGTAGTTCGATTTGTTAGATTTGTATTTCAAATTCACTAGTTTAATTGTACTTCGAATTTAATATTTGTTATATTTTTAAGATGGAACGTGGTAGAGCTTCAGTAGATATGGGTAACCTCCGCCGCAACCGAACAAAGGAGATTGCGAGGAATCATCCAAGCTTACACAAAGGTAAGGGACGGGCCGGGGCTTCATCTCAAACCCGAGATGATTTTGATGCGGATTATAACCAAAGATATGGGTCTGCGATGTCCGATGAGCAAGTAGAACAACTATTACAACAAAATCAAGGGGCCTTCTTCCATCAACAAAACATCCCGACCATTGACGAAGAAGAGCTCGAGGATGATGATGCGGAGGAGAGGGATCCGCAAACGGTCGAGCACGAGGTTCATGGCACACCGTTTAATGAAGCAAACGGTCGACCGTTTGCTTCATTAAAAATATTTGTAATTTTTCCTTTTCCAAAACATATTGCCTTATAATTTTTCCTTTTCCAAAACAATTAAAAAAGAAGTTATAAGGCAATATGTTTTGGAAAAGGAAAAATTACAAATATTTTTCGCAAACTTTGATGGCCGTGTTAGCATATGTAGTGATATATGGGAGGATACTCATCATCATTTATATTATTTGGGTTTGACTGCACATTATATTGATGATGATTGGTGTATGTATAAACGTGTTCTTGCTTTTCGTGAATTTAATGATCGACACACCGGCGATAATATTTATATTCTCATTGAGCGTATTTTAATTGAGTATAATTTGATTGATAAGGTGTTTGCTATTGGTTTTGATAATGCTACTAATAATATTGCGGCTATTCCTAGATTGCGTGAATTGTGTGGTTCATCTTCTTTGATGGGTAGGTTTTTTCATCAGCGTTGTGCATGTCATATTTTAAATTTATGTGTAAAGGACGGACTAGCGGCGTTGGGAGATGCTTTGGAGGTGGTCAAGGGGGGGATTAAACTTATTTGGGCTAGTAATCCACTTAAGATGCAATGGAGAAATTATTTGAAAGAAAGACGTGTCAAATATTGTGCTTTTCCTAAAGATTTGTCTATTCGTTGGAATAGTACTTATAATTTAATTAAAGTGCTTATTAGATATAAAAACCATTTTCCCGCTTTTTTAAGAGAATATGCTAACTATATTATAAACCCGGCCGATATCGACACTTGTGAAAAAATTGTGAATGTTTTGGTGTTTTTTAATAATGCCACTGAAACTTTTAGTCATGTTTATAAACCTACCGCAAACCAATTTTTTGTTGAAGCTGTTAATCTCGCCGGCGCTTTTTCTGAATTCTCTGACGCCGCTTACGTTAGTTATTTTTGTGACTTCATGAAACAAAAGTTTTTAAAATATTATTCCTATATTCCGCATATATATGGTATTGCATTTATTCTTGATCCTCGTTTTAGACTTGCTTCTTTGGAGAAATGTTTAGATTACTATTATGCTTCTTTTTTTGGTCCATTGCCTATGTACGACGACAAGGCCATAGACCCTAAACAACAATTCCAAGAGGTTAGTAATTTATTATATCAATTATTTAATGAGTTTCATGCACAATATGGTAACGCACCCCCTCCCCCGCCACGAACATCTTCTTCATCTAAAGGAAAATCAATTTTCAAATCTGCATTTGGCAATCTTATGAAAAAAAGTAAATCAACTCCGGTTAATGAACAAAGCTCGATCAACGAGCTTTCTTTGTATCTAACATTTCCTGTTGATTATGAAGAGGGGATGACTTTGACGTTCTTCAGTGGTGGAAGGAAAAAGAGAGAACGTTCCCGATCTTATCAAAGATGGCTAAGCAAGTGCTAGCAATGCCGGTATCAACAGTTGCTGTGGAACAAGAGTTTAGTGCGGCCGACAACGTCCTAACGGATTATAGAACGAGATTAAGCGCAAACTCTCTTGAGACGCTTGTTTGCTTCCACGATTGGTTGAAGGCCAAACGTAGAACTCAAGATATCAGCATTGAACCCACTCGCCACTTTATGGAAGAAACAACTGAAGATGGAGGAAATTCTAATTGATTCATACTTAATTACTTATTACAAAGTGTATTTCATGTCTTTATTTTTGCCCCATTTTCAATTGTACTACAAATATGAAATAAATATGTTTTTACCTTTTTTATATCCAAGTAATCTTAATTTGGTATGTAAAAAAAAAAAATTAAAACCCCGGCCCGGCCCGGCCCGTACCCGCCCGGGTCGACCCGACACGAACCGGACCCGGTATCACCCCGGGCCGGTTCCGGGCCAAACATTCTCCAAAAAAAGCCCGCCCGGGCCCGGCCCGGGTCCATCCCTATATGCATTAGTGCTGAGCACTATGGTCTACGTATGATGGGAATGGTTTGTTTTACAATGAAAATGGGCCTACAGGCCGATTGCTTGACATTATATAAGTAAATATATTTTTAAACAGGGTAACTCAGGGGGGTTAAGATCTGGATTATACTATCATTCTATTTGAGGGTCTTTGTGTTTCAAATACTTGTTATATATCTATTAGTTGTCATCATCACCAGTACATTGAAGTTAGAGTAAAGTACTAACCCCTTCATGGGCATTCCACCACCATTTTAGGTTGAGGTTGGAACTTTTAAGTCTTGACCCTTTTGACGAGAAGTTTTAAGGAGCCATATGTGACTCTTGTATGAAGTGATATATGCTATGTAGGCATCACCATCAATATACATTTTTAGTGAGAGTTCCGAGTAAAAAAAATGTGTGGTGATGGTGATGCCCATTTAGCATATATCACTCTAGACTCCATACAATCTCTTCATACAATATTCATATATTTTTAATTGAAGTATAATTTTGAAACCTGAATTTTCAAAGTTATTTTTTGACAGACCTTTCTCAAAATATTGATTTCGATTTCATTTTTCGCTAATTAGCTTAACTTCTAATTTTCTCTTCCGGTTCTAATTGAAATATTGGATCCTTTTTATCTTTTAATGGCTATAATCAACGGTAGGGACTAGGGAGAAGAGTTTTTACGTAGATTACCGGAAGACTCACGATTGAGTTGGAGATGAAATATCATTTTTAAATGTGTGTATTAAGAACCTCATTGGAGATGCTCAAAATCACTGGCAGCTTCACTTTTGTTTTGAGGATCATCTAGCCGTGGCAACTAGGGCTGGGCACGGGCCGGGTCGGGGCGGGTAATGCAAAATAAAATGGAACCGACGGTTCCATTGTACGGTCCGGTCCGGGTATTGCAATTTTCAAAATAGGAACCGGACCTTACCCGGCCCGTTTGAAACGGGTCGGTCCGGTCCGGGTTTTACGGTTTCTATTCCCATATCTTTTTTTATCGTATACACATATCTTAAAATTAGTAAAAACTCACAAATTTCCAAAAATCAATAATTAATAATATAGTACATTAGCAACTTTCAAAATAACAACATAGTGGTGCACATGTAACACAAGTGACAAATCCAATACTTCATAATTTCATGTACATAAGTTCCAAAAATCAGCAACATAGCCAAAATACATACAGTATTTTCTAACATTTGAATTTAAAAATGTTGTCTAACATCACATATTAAGGTGACACATACATGGGGGGATCACAATTTATATATTTTAAGAACACATTTTCAGTATTTGTCAAAGTTGACACATACATGGGGGTGGTAATCACAGTTTATATACTTTAAGAACAATATTATAAAAACAAATATTACAAAATCATTTTTAACAAATAATTAAATTCCATAGAAAGGAATAATTCAATAACAATAAAAATAATAAGAAATTTATGTAAAATTTAATCAATAATTTGAAAGCAAAATGATGTTACTGCAAGTCAATTTAAAATCCTACTTCTAGCAAAGGAAAACAAAACTATTTCAAAATCGATTATCACAAAACTATTAATATACAATATATATAACGGGCCGGGCCAGGTACCCGGTATTTTTTTTATTTTGGAACCGGCCCGGTTCCTTAAATAAAATTACCCGGACCTACCCGGACCTACCCGGACCGTTTCATGGCAACAAAAAATGGAACCGGCCCGTTTTGGACTCGAACCGCCATTACCCGGACCGGACCGCGGTTCCAAGACCAGTTTGCCCACCCCTAGTGGCAACTGTCTATTTAGATGCTCGTTTTTTAAATGGGGTATAGTGATTACCTTTTATTCAAAAGGGGATGCACCGTGCACGGGGGATTCGGCACTCAACACATAATTACATATGGAGAGCACAACAATATTTAGACATCCCAGTACCTCATCCCGGTGTAGATATGAAGGTTACAATGGAATAAGCTCAAGTACAATAACTCTATGCCCTAGGCCTGTTTATTGTGTTCTTTCTGGAAGATCCGGTTCCTCCTTTTCAGTTTCTTCATCACCCTCTTTCTCCTCCTCTTCCTCTTCCTCTTGCCTTTCTTCTTCCTCCTCATCCTCTTCCGGGGGAGGATCGGCTGGTAATGGAGGCGGCAGTGGAGTTTTCATAGGGCTGAATTGGGGAAAGATGTCTGGTCTGCGACCAGGCCTTGGTCTTTCCCATTCCTGCCATCATTTTTTTCTGAATGCATTATGTTGAGGTGATAGTTGACATAGATATGACAATCACTCGTGATTTTTCAAGGAAAGACCAAAACCATATTCAAGAGTAGAAAACCATGGGATGATTAATTATTTGCAAAGAAATAACAAACCACACAAACTGGTTTAACCACTGCTCTGAAATTATATGAGCATGGTTTAAAAAGGCGCTTAAGAGGCGGGTTTTGAGGCTCGCCTCAAGGTGAGGCGTACTAATTGGGTATCAGGGCTTAGGGTTTTTTCGCAGGTTAAGAGGCTTACGCCTCAAAAGTTGAGGCGTACGCCTTGAGGCATTTTTTGAGGCGTTTTTCCTTTGTTTCTCTGTTTTTAATGTGCAGTAACTTTAAAAAGTGCCAAAGCAATTATTTAATATAAGGCCCAGAGTACTTTTAAATAGAAATCCATTAATTAAACATGTGGCCACACTAAACCCCTAACAAGTCTTATTTCATTTAAACCCTAATAAGTCTTTATTCGTTTAAACCCTATACATTCTATTCATCTTTCAGTTTGTGTGTGATGTTTATGTTGGTGTCTTTGAAAATTCTAATGAATTACTGGTATTGGCTCATATGTCTGTGTTTCACACTTTTTGGACTTATAATTATGGATATATCCTTTACTTCTTTAGTTGGTTGTTAGTTTGTTACTAGTTTAACTATTTTATGTTTTATATGTCTATATATTGAGGCTTACGCCTCAATATGCCTCAAGGCTTACGCCTCGCCTCTTAGGAACAAACCGCCTTGATACCCGAACCCACCTTTTTAAACCTTGTATATGAGTAATGTGAGGCAACCA